ACTCCTGAGAGAGAAACCAGTGGGGCCCCAGTACCTAAAGCGCTGGGAGGGGTGGGGTGGGGGGGCATGTCAGGTGACCCTCTGGTCCAACCAGCTTCGACCTGGGGGTGCGGCCCTGTGGGTTCCTCCAGCTGGGACCTCAAGAGCCCCAAGCCCCCAGCACCACTCACCTGGCCTGGAGGCAGCACATACGGGCCATGTGATCACTTTCCTCTCTCTGAGCCTCAGTGTCTCTGCCTCTAAAACGGGGATTATGGGGGAGGCACTGGCTGGCTCAGTTGGTGGAGCCTGAAAAAAATTAACATTACAATGGGGAGTACCGTGCCTGCCTTCAGGGAGTTTAAGAGGCTCAAAGGAGCTAAGAATCCCTTGAAACTCTGCCTGACCCGTAGGAGGTACTCGGGGAAACTAAGTCAGCTTAGTTTGCCAGTTTGCGGATTTTAGGAATCCTCGTGAGGTATCATTCCTACGAGGGCTGTAAGAGGCTGGTGCTGCAGGCACCCGGGGGGCTCGGTCAGTTGAACATCTGACTCTTGATTTCAGCTCCGGTCATGATCCCCGGGTGGTGGGATTGAGCCCCACGTGGGGCTTCATGCTGAGTGTGGAGCCTGCTTAAGATTCTCCCTCCCTCTCTCCCTTTCTCTGTCTCCCCCCCCCCCCCCACCCCGCCCTTCTCCCCAACTCAGGTGCACGCTCTCTCTCTCTCTCTCTAAAATAAAAAAAAAAAAATTTAAAGAGATTGACACTGCAGTTGTGGGGCTTTGACAGAGAAGGGCCCCGAGGGTCACGCCTGCGTGGCTTCTCAAGGTGGGGAGCTGGGAGGTGGACCCCAAGCCCCACGCCCTGCACAGGCAGCGGCCCCATGGGGCCGGGCTGGATGATGGGGTTCTTCCTGCCAGGTACACCCGCTTCGTCCAGCATTTCCTGGAGTCGGCCGAGCAGTTCTTTATGCAGGGTCACCGGGTGCACTACTATGTTTTTACCAACGACCCCGCAGCCATTCCTCGGGTCCCGCTGGGCCCCGGCCGCCTCCTCAGCATCATCCTCATCCAGAGGCACTCGCGCTGGGAGGAGATCTCCACGCGCCGGATGGAGACCATCAGCCGGCACATCGCCGAGAGGGCGCACCGGGAGGTGGACTACATCTTCTGCCTCGACGTGGACATGGTGTTCCGGAACCCGTGGGGCCCTGAGACCCTGGGGGACCTGGTGGCGGCCATTCACCCGGGCTACTATGCTGTGCCCCGCCAGCAGTTTCCCTACGAGCGCAGGCATGCTTCCACCGCCTTTGTGGCAGACGACGAGGGGGACTTCTATTATGGTGGGGCGGTCTTTGGGGGGCGGGTGGCCAGGGTGTACGAGTTTACTAGAGGCTGCCACATGGCCATCCTGGCGGACAAGGCCAATGGCATCATGGCCGCCTGGCAGGAGGAGAGCCACCTGAACCGTCGTTTCATCTCCTACAAGCCCTCCAGAGTGCTGTCCCCTGAGTACCTCTGGGATGACAGGAAGCCCCAGCCACCGAGCCTGAAGCTGATCCGCTTTTCTACGCTGGACAAGGACAGCAGCTGGCTGAGGAGCTGATGGCTGAGCCAGGCTGCTGTGCATGGGGGCCCCAAGCCCTGCAGCCAGCTCGCCCCGGCAGAGCACCCGGCTCGTCCCCGGCGAGCACCCCGCTCGCCCCCGGCGGAGCACCCTTTACCAGCGCCCCCCCTCTCAGGCCTCAGGTGAGATCCATCCGGTCCTGCCTACCTCAGTCTATTAGCAGAAGTTCACCTGGGAAATGGATGCGGAAGGGCCTTTGTCAACTGTGAAGGGCCGCGCCCACACAAGCGGAACACCAAGATCACACTGCAGCGTGGCCCGAGAATGGTCAGGCGGGAAGAGGTGAAGAAGACAGAGCCGCAGGCCTGGCCCAGCAGACGTGCCTTCGGGGCAGGCTCCGGAGTCAGCCCTACTCAGTGCCTGAAACCCCGCCTCTGCCCCACTTCTGTTGCCTATTTGCCCCTCAAGTTGCACTTCTCAGACCCCGGCGTGAAAGGCATCCAGACGCCTCTTCTCTGGCTGTAGGGGTCCCGGGTGCTGGGACGTCCCCCAGCCACACCGCGCTCGGCCCTGGAGTGAGTCTTTGCGACAGAACGGGCCTGGCCCTCTCTGGCGTCGAGTCTAGCCCGCACCCCACGGCGGACCACACTCTCTGGCACCAGCCCCACCTTTGTAAGGGGGTTTGGGCAGTTTTTAATAAAGGTGGCGTGCACGAAGTCCTCACCGGGGTGTTTCCACCTGCACATCCGAGCGTCTGCGCGGCCAGCCACCGGGGATGCGGGCAGCCTGGATCCCACGTACAGTCAGCCTGTGGGGGTGGAGGAGGGAGGGTCCGGTCTTCTAGAAAGTCTGCGTTACAGCGGCCGCTGCAGCAGACGAGATTCTGCTCCCGTCGTCCTGGGAGAGGGGTGAGGTGACAGCGAGCCATACCCCCCGACCACGAGGGGGGCAGAGCTCATCAGCTGGACACCACGGTGGCCTCTCAGCCCCTGACGCAGGGCCCCTGATGTCGGCCCTCTGCCGGCACCTCCTGACCCTGGGAGGCCACCTGCGGGTGTCGGGCTCCACAGCTATGGTGCAGGCCCAGGATTAGTGGGCGCGGGAGGGCGGCCTCACCAGCGTGGCAGCCTCAGAGGGACTTCAGAGCCCCTTCGGTGGCCGTGTCTGCCCGGCAGGACGGAGATGGGGGGGAGGGAGGGTTCAGGGTCTGGTGGCCCAGTGTCCCCTCTGGGGGCAGCATCACCTTTGCCAAGCGGGGCACAGAGGGGTACGTTCTGGCCACGTAGGGAGGAACAGGCACCCAGCCGCACGGCCCCCCTCCAAGCTGGGGGTCAGCCCAAGGCGCACTCCCGTGGCCTGCAGTCTGTCCAGCGGGCAAGGACAGGTTACCAGAAAATGAGCAGAGGGGAGGGCAGGTCAGGGAAAGGCGCTGAGGTGCCTGCAGGGCAGAAGGGGGAGGGTGGGCCCACAGTCCACGTGTTCCGGTGGGGAGCCCCTGCCTCGCTCCCAGCCCGGCCCCTCCCGGCCCCAGCTGACGGACCTTCCCAGCCGCGGCCCGAGCCCCCAAGGAGTACGGCTGACACCGCCATCGCAGGACCCAGCTCTCAGACACAAGGGAGTGACGGGACCCGACTCTTAGACCCCAACCAGGGTCCGAGCTACTTGCCAAAGAAGGGCTGAGGGCTTAGAGCCACAGCTGCTCCACGGGTGGGGAGAAGTGAGGGGCCTGGCGGGGGTGCAGGGGGGACGGGGACGGGGCCTGACCTGGCAGACAGAGGTGAGGGGGCTCAGAGACAGTCCCAGCGGTCCTCAGCCCCTGACTGGCAGGATC